CACTGCCAACGGACGAAAACAGAAGGCCTATTCATCCAGTACATGGTACAGATGGAAGGCCTTTGCCAACAGACGAAACTGGGCACCCACTAGGTGCCGATGGAAAGGCAATCCCAACGGATGCAAGTGGTACACCAATTGACAAGGATGGACAACCCTTGCCAACAGATAGCAGCGGAAACTATGTTATGGTCCCTAGTGAAGAGGCAGTCGTTAAGGAGTTGCCCACCGATGAAAGTGGCAATGTTCTATACCCCATAACGATGCCTGATGGATCACCGATGCCCACAGATTCTTCTGGAAATTATATCACCGACGAGGGAGTTATCGTTGAAAAGGATGAAGAGGGAAGACCACTTGGTCCAGACGGACAAGTCTTGCCAACAGATCAGTCTGGTAACTACATCTACCCTGTCCTGGGACCTGATGGAAGTCCATTGCCTACGGACGAGAACAGAAGACCTATTCGGCCGGTATTTGGTACAGATGGAAGACCTTTGCCTACAGATGATACAGGACACCCGCTAGGCAAAGACGGTAGGCCAATCCCAACGGATACAAGTGGCAAACCAATTGACAAAGATGGGCAACCCCTGCCTACGGATAGTAGCGGACATTATGTGATAGTGCCGGCTGAAGAAGGAGTCACAAAGGAGTTGCCAACTGATGAGAGCGGCAACATCATCTATCCTGTGACAAGACCCGACGGATCACCATTGCCTACCGACGCCTCTGGAAATTACATTACAGAAGAAGGTATCATAGTTGGACCGGATGGTAAAGCTCTTCCTGTACCGCATGACGAAAGATGCTCATTGAAGAATCTCAAAATGGATATCGTGTTCACAATAGACACAAGAAAGCTGTCCAACTCCACGTTCCAGAACATTTTGCGAGCTATATCAAGCTTTGCTGATAGGGTCGATTTATCACCGGACGTGACCCGTATCGGTGTTGTATATGGCAATAAGGATATCGTTGTTCCTCTTCCGCTTGGCGGATACCAGGAAAAAGAGCATATGCGAGATGAGCTTCGACGGATCGTGTTCTCTTATGACGACTCAGATGATCGTGTGCCTCTTCATGGATCAACGAAACAACAATTTACCATGTTTCCCCGACCAGACAGCGCCAAAATCAGCATAATCTTTGGAGGTGACATAGCTAGGTGAGTTCTTTTATATATCTTGTTTTTCATAGGTTATATACTGATACCGAAATCCTTTCTTTTTTCTAATCTCTCTTTTATGAGATCGTCTTGAAAAATCTGACGAAGAACAGCATTTCGAAAAAAAAGTCAACTAGAACAGCTTTCGTCTCTCACTTTCTTATGACGATCTTTTATTCTCGCGTGTCAGCACAAAAAATTCGAAATGAAGGCACCTTTTGCACCTTTGACCATATCGTTGAACAAAAACAACATCGCAAAATCATAGGTTCATGCCATTCATGCATGAAGGTTCTTCCTCACAGGAAGAGATTATGTAAGTTGGGCCATTCAAGATAAGATGTTCATGACTTTGTGATCTTGGACTGCTTTCGATATCTGAAAAGGATACAAGTTACCATTTAGAGTCTGATTGTGCAAGCACTTAGCCACCATTCTTAGCCACCACAATGAAATTTTTCTTTCTTGACTCCAGATATAGGTGAACTCTTCTACTATGCGGAGTGAATGCCGTTGGGAATCGGGTATAATTTTATTCCAAGTTTTTTGTTTCTGTTACCCAGTACTTGACGAGATTTTTGTTGGTAATTCAGTTTATAACGAGCCACCTCCTGAAAACGGTGCGGTGTAAAGCGGCATGGTAAACCGGTGCGCATGTCTACCGCTCAATATGATGTCGTCAAGCCCCTCATCACATCTTGAATTTTGACATTTTCTTTACATGCCGATGGGATATTATTCGTGTCTAACATACGGAAAATTCTCAAATTGGAATTTTTCGTTTTGGGAAACTGTATTAGCAGTACATTGTCACCTATGTAGGTAAGCTAGATAGGTGCTTGCACGTCGTACCAGAAAAATGTCAAGGAAATCACAACTGTGTAAGCATTGAGCAACAGTGAATTCTTCGCCTCACACTTGCCAGCGTCTCTATATAATAATTTATGG